TTATATTATTATCAATAAAGATTTTTAATTAGATTTCTATTGATGCATTGCTTGTATTATTTAAAGTTAATAATTACAATTAAATACTTATTAATTATTAAATTATACAGGGCATATTGTATATCACATTTGTGTAACCAATGATTTTTTATTTATTTGTCAATTTGCCAATTGTTTTTTTCCTATCAGTTTTGATTTTACTTTGCTGTTGACACTTTAATAATTGAATATTTTTTTATTTTTAACTAGTTATATTCCAATATCATATTTTTATCATTTTTGTATAGCAGTTGCTTTCATTCTATTTTTATTTGGTTTTTTAGTGATATTATTAGTATTTTTTTAAATTATATATCTTTTCGATTACTTGTTTTTAACAAAATCGAATAGAAATTCAGGCTCACAAAATATTTAACACTGAAACTAACTGCTTTTATTTATATATGACAGCTATACTCCAACACTTGAATTTTTCTGCTGTTACTAATACTTTATTATAGTAAGTAATAATTATATAATAATTCAAGAAAAATCGATTGTGTTATTACTTGGACATTAATATCAATAATTAATTATATACTTGTATTAATTACAGAAATGACCTCTTCAAACAAAGCATTCAAAAAAACTATTTGAGATGAACTTACCTGTAAGCTATTATATTTATCAAGCAAAAATAAATCTATTAATTGATCATGCAAACAAGTAACTAGGAGTGTTTTTCAATGATCATTTCCTATATTGTGTTCTCCTATCGATATATATTATAATAAAAAGATATTATATTAGCAGGCCACTGATACTTATCAAGACTGTGACCAGTGGGCAACCCTGGTTTGATGTAAGGCAGTAGATTTAGTAAAGCAATAATACCTTGATATCAATCAAATGTTCTTATCAAAACTACAACCAGTGGGAAGCTCTGGTTTGATGTAAGGTAGTTTACTATTATACCTATTTTGCTTTTATGCTTGCTATCGACTATTAAATAAGTTGAAATTGTAACTAGTAGATAATCCTGGTTTGATGTAGAACTTGTTAAGTTGATATATTTGGAAATAGCTATTGTTACTTACTTGGCTAAGACTGTGACCAATAGGCAATCCTGGTTTGATATAGAGTCAAGTTTTTTATATATATTGGTTTTGCAATAGTATAAAGTTAAATATCAAGACTGTAACCAGTGGGCAATCCTGATTCGATGCAAGTTGATTAATAAATCTTATACTAAAAGTATTTGTTATATTGATTATTGATATTCTTTTTAAGAACTGTAAACTTTTGAACAAAAGACCAATAGAGTTTTTAGTATTGATGAGATGTATTATACAATTGAATAAACAAATTTGAATCTTAAGATCTTTTGCAATTTTGATTGTATATGTAATTCAATTATTTTGATTAAACTTTTTAAAATTGCATATTAGGCAAAACTAAATTAATTTATTTTTTTGGATTAATTATATCTTGAAAAATATATTTTTTTATTGCTAACATAAAGAATTTGAATATTAAATTGCTCATAAGAAAAGATTTTTATCATTCTTTAAGAAATATAATAAAAAAATTTTTTTATAAAAATATATATTGTAATTAAATAATTAAAATTTATTATTATTATTTTATTATTATTATTTTCTTTTTTTTGATATTATTTTATTATTATTTTATGAATTTATTCTTGAAATTATTATTTATAAAAAGAATAATATTATAATTCAAAATAGCTGTATATTAAAAATTATATAATCATATGATTAAATTATGAATTCTTGTCAATTCTTTAAATTTTTAAAGTTTTTATATAGTAAACAATCTTTGGAGTGAAATATCTCCTTATTTAATTATAAAAATAGTCAAAATAGTTCTATTAAACCATAGATAAAATATTTAAGAAAATATATTTTATTAATATCTCTAAAGTTAATTATTTAATATAATTTTGAGAATATTTATTTTAAATAAAATTATTATTAATTATTAATAAATAAGAAAAAATATAATTATATAATTAAAAACAATATATAAGAATAACTATTTTACCCTTTTGAAAAATAATATTGTTATATATTTCTTATAATTATAATTTTTATTTTATTTTATTTTTATTTTTTTCCTAAATCCTTAATAAAACTATTTTTTATTTTTATTATTAATTTAATAAATCTTTATTAATAAATTTTTTATTTTTATAAATTAATTAACTTAATATTTTGACAGGCTTGTATATATATAATAATATAAAGAAAACAGTTTTTATAATATTAATTATTATTGAGTTGTTAAGCAATAATATATTGTAATTAATATAAAAAAAAATGATTTATTTTACTATCTGTATTTAAAATTAGTTAAACAATATTTTAATTATTTATAAAAATTAATAAGAAATTTATTTAATAAAATATTTTTTAAAAGACTCTAATCCTTGAATACAAAGTCTCTTAATACAAGGATTTTATATCAAATCATATATTTTTTTTAAATTATTTTTATATTTTTGAATTTAATACTTAAAAAACTTATATTATAATATTTGATAATAACTTGTATTATTACAATATTATAAAAATATTATAATAAGTAATTGTTAATCTCATAAATTAAAAATAATAAAAAATAAAACAATTAATTTATAATAATTTTTTTATAATAATATAAATAATACAATTATTTAATGGTTTTTTATAAAGCTAACTCTATTATATATGTAGATTTTATTAATTATTATAGATTATATTTCCTATATATGATTGTTTCATTAACCATTACTAATTAATTGACATAAATTAATAAATTAAATATATTAATTTATATTTTGAGAGTGAATTTATATATTGGTAAAAATTTAAGTATATAGAAATTTTATTTATAATTTAAAGTATTTGATCTTAATTTCTAATAAAACAAGAATAGTAATATGTTAATTAAGTTTAACTAGATTTCTTATTATTTTATATCTTTAATATATATAGTAACAATACCTATAGTCTTACTAATACTTTCTAATAAATACTTTAGAAGATATTTTGATTAGTACTGACTATCAAATCTAGAATTAAATAATTAAGTAAATATAATTTTTAAATTTTTTAATAAATACTTTAGAAATTCTAATTAGTATAGATTGTCAAATCAAGAAGTACAAATATTAAACAGAATATAATTTCTATTTAATTATGAGCTTTATTCATATGTTAGTAATTATATCAATAATTATCTTCAAAGTTATTTAGCTTTAGTAAGTATATTGAATGGCAAAAGGAAATTTGCAATAGGCATATATTTAGTTAAATTAGAATTTTTTTTTATGTAATCTTTTTTTTGAATCTGTTTCAATCTATGATCATTAAAAAGACCTAAAATTTCATTTTTCATGCAACTTAACTAGATAAGAACCGAGTTTGGATATTAAAGTCATGTATATAGAAAAACTGATAAACTTGTATATAAGCTTCATTAATATATTTTGTTACATGTGATTATTGAACTAAGAACATAAATTTGGAGATCTAGAAGCACTATCTACTATACTATTGACCCACAAATCTCAATTATTTAGTGGTTTTTTTTTTCAAAAAATCAATTAAATTTATAAAACATATTTATTATTTATTTTTAAAATGAAGTTGAAATATGTGTTTTTTTAAAAAATAATATTTAACATTTTAAAAAAGCATTATAAATTGTTAAAGGTAAATGAATATGTTGATGAGTTCATTGAATAATGTAGAACTTTATTTAATTTGCTTGTTATTATTTTATTACGTGTCTTTTTTTTCCTGTTATATATTTACTTCAAAAGAGAATAATAGCAAAGTTATACAATATATATATTATTCTTTATTTTTTTTTAAAAAAAAAAACTTTTTTATTGTAAAAAGGTCAACCACTTTTAATTAAACTTATATATACTGTATAAAAAATAATAATAATCAAATAGCTTATTTTTTGATGTGAAATTAATATGTACAGTATCATTGTAATCAAATTATTGATAATTAATACAGTACTTTAACACTTTGTGATAAGAACATTGTATTATAATCTTTTTTGATATTATTTATTTTGTTGATATTTTTTTTTTAAAAAAGAAAAGACAAACATGGTACAGTATACTGGATGATTTCAAGGTGATAGTTATGTTGACGTTAAATTAAAAAGATAATGTATTTTTGATCGCTGATGTTGCATTAGATGTTTTTTTGATGTGATCCATAAAGGAACTTGGTTTGCTCGTAGATCAGTATCGTATAACAAAATTTGAAACTTCTGGTATCAGGAAAAACAGATTAAGTTGGATTCCGTATTTCTTATCAGCTATGTTGTAAAATGGGCTCATCATTCGTTACAGTATTTGGAAACATTGCGAGTAATGGTCGTATGACGCATTAGCCACCGTTAGCCTCGACCGGCTGAGTTTTTTGTTGATTGATGAAGTTGACCAATGAAATTGTCGAGACGCATACGTACGCGAACGCAATTGTACCACGGATTTTCACAAAACCTGTCTCCATCTCGTTGTTTTTCAATGTCTCTTCTTACGCATGTCAAGTAACATATAATTTGTTCTTGAGATCATTATCATAATCTTGAATTCACGTAGTTCTGAAGAAAACATAAACATAGGCACATTCATTTGATATTTAAAAGTAATGCGCGTACTATATACTGTAACCGAAATTTTAGTTGTCGTTCCCTTTATGCCAGTTTTCATCAATAATCCACGCCTCAGAAAAAAAATAACAAGTAACTTTCCAGAAACCACAAATTGTTGTATTTGTTCGGTTTGACATGCACAGCGGACGAATCTTATGTGCCATCTGATGGAGAACTGTGGTAAGACACCGCACCGCGAGAACGAGGATCTAGATAAGTATTCAAAGAATGGTCGGAGATCTGATTTGTTTTAGCCGAAAGCCGAGCCAAATTTGTGATAGCCGAACATACCCTACGAGATTCTCCGAATTCACAAGATCTTGTATATTCTTTGCTGAATTGGACATCCAAATTGTTAGTCACCTTTAATCGCAACATATACATCATTTACCGAAGGTTGTTGTCACGTGTTAACAACGATTGGGTTTCGGAGACAATCATCGAGATGCGTACGATGGAATGCGGGATGATAAGCAACAAGAAAACTTATAGGGTTCATGGATTTATATGTGTAGGCGTCGGGATACGCTATTTTATTTCCATAAAAGATGCAGATTTATTTCAACTAATATTTATTTATCTAGAATAGCATTCATTATCTAGGCTCGTTTAGGGTATCGGTAATTATCATCTTATTTAAACATTTTTAGAAGATTTCATTCTATTAAAATCAATAATTACCGTATTATCTTTCCATATCAATGTGATGATGATAGTCAGATAACCTTAACTTTAAAAAAAAAAAAAGGCGGTCGGAAAAACTTGAGTCCAATCAAAGTTCTTGCAGCGACTTTGCTCGTTTACAATACGCGAGAAACCTGATTCGGACAAAAGCTTTTTTTTTTTTCATAGGTTTACCGCGCAGATCCGCATTTGCGGTTTGGAAACTGGAAAGAGCGATCAAACTCACATGGTGATCGTTGATTCGAACGAAACAAGAAATCGAGAGAAAAATAGGAAAGTGAAAGTGTGAGAGACATTGTGTGTGGTGTTTAAAAGATTTATGGCGGCACTCGAAAGCAAAAAACAAATTGACGCAGTAACAACTGGTAGAATATATTCATGTGAAAAAATAAGGTTTTTCATGCTGTGTTCGGTTATCCCAAACGAGTTTGTTAACGGGAGATGTAATACTTGTGTGCGTGACATTTGAAAAACATACAGTATTCCCTTATTTATAAAGGTTTATATATTTTTTTGAAAGATAAGGTTGTTATTTCCAACGGTAACACACACACACATATATCAGTAAACTATGTTTGACACGACCTTTAAAAAATTCTTCGAGATTGGAATGCCTTAATAAGAAGGTGGTGGAATTTCATAAGAAGGGTGCACAATAGACCAATTAGCACTGCCACATGTGTCGATCCATTTCGAGGATTGACCGAAAGTGACGCGCGGGATTTTTCTGTGCGCATCAGATAATTAATCTTACCGCTAAGAATGTGGAAACCGACAACTTGACTTCTAACATGAAATGACCCCTCCATTCGACAATTGCTTGCATCTTTCCTTTTTGTTAACTGCTGGCGACCTAAGAATTTATTTCTTGCCGCACAGCCTCCCTCCAAAAGTCGAGCAGACTGTAACCAGCAACCTGATACTCATCTTGTCGGTAGTTAATTAGACCATATGGGTTCCAATGATATAACAATTCGGGATGCTGAAAGTATTAGGGATCTGCCAACCTTAAGGACCGCCCGAAGGACATCATAAAAATCCTTTAAGGTTTAGGTTCAAAGTTTAAGTCCAAGATTGATTCACGTTTCCCAGGAAAGCTCTCAATGTGAAGCCACCACGTACGTTGCGATCAACAAATAAAAATAACAATGCAAACAAACATGTATCTATATAAATTAGTTTATATAATGGCTTGGCTTCCTGGCTGAAATGCGTAATAACTAATTTAGGAGTCATTAAAGGTGACGAAAAGAGAATAATTAATTCGATGTTATTAAAAAAAAAAAATTAAGATTTGAGGTTAAATCTTGGGGTGGCTTGGTTTTTAGTAATCCAGGGACTAGATAATTAAGGATAAGTGAGAAGGACATTCTGCAAACAAACAAAAAAATAAACATATAAGCCCTGAGTTCTAGAATGTCAAAGAAAATCGTAAAGTCTCCAACAATATTTGCGCACCAACATTCGGTAAGATGGGAAAAAAGCAATGCTCTGTACACACGATCTTGACAACTGTCAACAACACATAAGGAACGTGGAAATTGGTTAAGCCAGAAATCTATCTAATCTGAATAGGGAAACTTTCATCAAATGTTTAATTATGTAAACCTTTTCTGGTAATTTTTTCACTTATGAAATGGCGACGCACGGGATTATATGATCAATAACGAACCAAGCCACTTAAAGGCTTTTCACTTAAAACGATAAAAACCATTCGACCATTGTTATTAGCAACTGTTGAAAACTCATCTCGGCTGTGCGAAAGACGAGAGCATGCGCTGATCTAAATTTCGAATGTACAGTCTACAACCGACTTTCTGACCAGTGGATTGACTTACCGGACATAAATCACGAGAATATCATGGCTAGGTCATCATCACATAATGTCCGTGTGTCAAATAACGCTTGCTACACAGACGGTGGCTAAGTGGTTGGTTATATAATATGACAAGTAATAAGCCGCTTGGACGAATTTGTAATAAATACTTGAAAAAATAATGATTCAAACGGATTATATATTATATAAGAGATAATCTTCAAAAAAAAAAAAAAGTTTACTATGTGTTTTTTTTAGAATTCCGAAAATTTCGTCAGTCTGTGATGATAACACAAAAAAAAAACAAAACTCTCATTACCTCCAATTGATCAGTTCTCGCGTCAAGATGATAATACTCGAATCATTCGCGAAGCCATAAAATCTCGGCTATGTGTTCTTCGAACGTTCACAATTATTCACATCTCTTGGAGAAAGTTGTAGTCTTTTTTTTTTTTTTCGCATAGAACCTAGAATTATCCCCAGAGCGTACATATTTTAGTGTAAGCAGAGGATCCACGAAAATCTTCAGACGTCAAAAAAAATTATAATATCATAAATAAAAACAAATAAGAACAATTATCGGGAATAAAAAACATTTCTCGGTCTTCTTCTCAGCCATCCCCTTGGAGGGTATTGAAATTAAAAATAAATAGTTCTGCGTTGACAATAAGCCTTTCTGGCCGATACACACCAATTATTTGTTGTCCTTTCTTATTTGACAAAGCCCCCCGCTACCATAAATAAATGTTAATTAATATCTTCGCGTCAATATCACCTTTTTTTGTTTCTTAAATTGGTAACCATAAATAAAATCTCACTTTTGTTGAAAAACAACCTATGCCCATACATCGACGAGTAAACAAAATCGCGCAAAAAAAAAAATTTTTTTTTTTTTATTGCTTGCACAAAGCTTTTGGAAAGATTAAGACGGAAATCGAGTTTCTCCATATGTCACCTTCGCGATGTAACAAATATATATTAATAGAAAACAATCGACTCGCATTACTTCAAATCTTGCCAGAATCCAGCGACCCACATAGTAGGATTTTCTCTATTTGACCCAAGGTCTGTGACACAAATGCAGGGAATTTCATGTGGTGAACACGATTAGACAAAACGTTTTCCCAAAAAAAAATTTTTTTTTTTTTTTTGATCACAGCCCATATCGCAAAGGCGCGCGTACCCATTAATATACTCCGTATATTAACATCATATGATAAATTGAGGAGTACTAACTAATTATTTACTATATACGCATATATTAAGATATTTATGTCAAATATTTCATTGTTTTTCATATTATTTATACATGCATACTTTAACCTTAAATCTGATGATTATTTAAAAAGCCAGATTTCCCACCTTTGATCCAACTTCCTCACTTTAATTAAATCAACTTTATTATCTATACAAAAATGTTAACATAACTTTCATTAAACAAACTGTTTATCACCACCAGAAAAAAAGTTGAAGAAATCTTTTTTTTTTTTTCTCGAAAAAACTTCACCTTGTTGACAATTAAACATGTCATGAACACCTTCTTTGAAACCGCCGCAACGAATTTAACAAGAAACCCTCTGACGAAACAGTATTGTGAATTCACAACAAGGAAGGTTCGTCCGTTTCTCTCGTCATTTATCCAATTCATAACAATCTTGACGCCTGAGGATGATATGTCCGGATTTTTTAAAAATTCATACGTTAAACCGTAAGTTTTCCTAAGAAAAAGAAAAAAAATTTTTTTTTGAAGTTTGAACGTTCGACGAGCATTGTCTAAATTCTCGAAATTTCTATTAAACTTAGCCGAAGTCGAAATGACAAAATATTCAATCGACATTTGTTGCTCCTGGAATGATCTGATGTCGTTCGCCGCGTTGTGAAGTCCGAGAGTAAGTTCTTATCTCTTTTACTGTAAAGAACATCTAAATTATAAAAAAAAAAAATTTTTTTCTTATTTATGGATGCCAATTATTGTTAATGTAGGCACAACTATACCTACGTAGTGGACATCGCATTCGCGTTATGATTCAAGAAGACCTCTCTATGCGCAACGTTTTAACGTGACTTCTATGCGCAGCAGGTCAAAGCATCTGTTCCGTCAACAAGATGCCGCACATCGTCGCAATCGCAGGGATTCCAGATCGAATGAAAGAAACGAAATCTCTTTGTTTTTTTCTTTCTGATTTGATTGATTCTCCTGCACACTTATAACAGTCATTCTGAAAAGTGACTGTTTATCGCATTGGCGTTTTCTAAGCTTAGAATTCGCCAAAAAACATATATACATTTTTCTATTGATCTCAGTTGTGTTGCCGTTGTTATTGAAGCCTCGGTGCTCTTTGTCGAGACTTTCGGTCACAAGGAAGAGACTTGGTTGATCTGTACGGTATTACCACGGTGTTCTATATTCTGTCTATTCTATTATATGATCTTTTCCATCCCAATCTTTATTATTACCCGTTTTAATAATTGTCTTGTTTCTTTATTTCACCCCCTACTCTCCTTTACTTCATCTCCCCTTTCTCTTGTCCACTATAATCCCTTATTTTACTTCCTTCCCTCATTTCATTTATACTCTCCATTTTTATTTACTTTCTCCCTTCATCTCATTCGACATTATTCTCTTTTACCCAATTATAATTCATCTCCCATATTTTACTCCAACAATTGTCATTCTTTTCCTTATTCTATATCAGATGAATGTTTTTATTTTAATGTTTCACATGTTTTTTTTAATGAGCACTGGAAAACCGCTATTTTTATTTGGCTATTATGTCATAATTTGTTTTTATAAAATCTAATTTGTGTCATACAATTGACACCGTCGAAAGAAGTAGGAAACAAGCAGGCTATTCCTGCTACGTTATTTCTTTCCTACGAATTCGACATATTCTAGTATAAAAAAAAAATATTATTTTTCATCAAAATGATTGTTTCCACCTATATTTTCTTTTGTTTTGTATACATGACTTTATTTTTAAATTTTTATTTGTTTTCACGCAAAATCCCTGGCTTTTTTATATATTTGTTTGTGCATATATACATATTTTTTTTATTTTATTTAACTTGTAAGTTATATGTGCAACTTAAGTCACGAGATTCTTGCGTGGATTTATATCAATCATGTATACAGGCATACTTTATCAAACAATCGTTTTGTTATTCGAATAAACGCTGACGTCTTGTGTTTTTTGAATTATAATTGAACGATGAAAATACTAATTACTGGTTAAACGAAATATTTCTCATCTGAGATGAAACTTTGCTTTCCACATTCAAAAATTCATCAAAAGAAGTGCCATTGTTGCATTTACTCTGCATTTTTATTAACACAACATGCATATCCAATGAATTTATATGTGACACCTTTCCATTATAGACATATTTGAATAGAAACATACAATAGCCATGAGGCAGCTGTAAAGAACCAACAATTTATGTGATGTGTAATATAATTATCTGCCTAATTACAATTTTTTGACTTTTAAAACTTGGAACTATCAAATAATCTTTTGTTTTAATATTGAGAACTATTACAAGATAACAACAAACACTGTCGAAATAAAAAGAATGATTAACCAATCAACTCATTACTGTATACCGTACATCAAATTTTTCTTCTTATTAACAGCACATGATACTTGTTTAACCATGTTAATAGGAATCTTCATCCAATTGTAATAACACTATTTTGCACATTTAAATGGTTAGAGGCAAAAGAATTATTTTAACAAAATTCAAATTTGAAACATCGTAAAGATTAATTACAATCAAATTTTAAATTTTGTTTGTTTGTAAGATTTATTGATTCCACCTATGTGTAATCTATGTTTTCTAAATTGCGAATACGTATGAATAAGAATATTGAAATAATAAAAAGAAAATAATAATAATAATAGTTTGTGATAATAATAAAATGATAAATCGAATAAAGATTCGTTTTTCTTTACTTGATATAGCCTTTTACAAACAATGACATTACTCAAAGAGTATACAATATTTAGACTCGG